GTAGCTTGAGCCAGACACTTGAATGCAGAAACAACAAGCAGAGCAGAAGATGGGAAGTACCTATGTCCACTACTATCCACACCTTGCAGTTGTAGGAAGTTATACTCTTGGGTTCACAACATCCTCTAGCAAGGAGTTCCATAGGTTGACTGTGTGAAAAAATACTTCCTTTTGTTTGTTTTAAACCTGCTGCCTATTAATTTCATTTGGTGACCCCTAGTTCTTGTGTTATGAGAAGGAGTAAATAACACTTCCTTATTTACTTTCTCCACAGCAGTCATGATTTCATAGACCTCTATCATATCCCCCCTTAGTCATCTCTTTTCTTCCCAGCCCCAAGTGTGGCAATATGTTCAGCCCTAAGCATATGATTAAGTCACATGACAGTTAAGTGGCCAATCTCATTTATGATCAGAGGCACCAGTGGTGTAGCAGTATTGATATATAGATATCAGGCAGTTGTCACTTGTTTTCTTTTAGGTGGATCTTGCCAGCCCCTCCTAGAACTGAAGATTCCATAAGTTGAGAATGTCCAAAAAGCAATGTATTTAGTCTAAACATTAAATAAATACATAGATAAAAATCCAATAAATGTCAATGGGTCAGATTCTCCACTGAATTGCACCTTGTGTGATAATTTACTCTGTGCAAAGTGGGCACAGTGCAATAGCAAATCAGAACTCTCATTTGGAATTCAGGGATAGCATTTCACATCCATTTTGCACAAGTTTAAATGGCTATGCAATGCGGAAGACAGTGGACAAACAGACCTAAAATGTTCTCTTGTTATTGTTTTAGCTCCATATCTATGTCTTTATGATCCATTTTTGGTTACTTATACACTGCAGGGAGATTATCCAGTGACTACCTTTTTCCTGCCTCTATAGGTTTAAGCTCTTCAGGCTGCTGCGATAGGTAAAATCTTATGATCAGATTAAGAACAAAAAATGCCTGTTCGTAATGCATATGGTGAAAATCTTAGTAAGGGAGAACTGTTAAGGAAGATCAGCTTTCAGATCTAATAACCTTGGTCTATATCATGCTGCTGATTTTAAGCAGAACTCTTCCATGAAGCCCAATGAGCAGATCTGCTTAGAATCAGTGGTGTGATATGTGCCTTTGATGGTGCATCTCTCAGAATCATCTCTTTTTTTGGTGGTGCTCAGTGATCTACTTAAATTACTTATGTGTGTGCAAATGCAGTTAACTTTTTAATGCCTTACTAAATTAATGTGGTAATAGTCATTATGGACAAAATCCTGCGTTTCTTACTTAGAGATGAACTTTGCTTCACATCTGTGCAGGTGTGTAGGGGGAGGGACAAGGAGTGTCCCTGTTCTTTGCCCCCAGAATTGAGCAGAATCACAACTTCCACACTCAGTTGAGCACAAAGACAGAGTAGGGTTAGTTGAACTAGGCACCTGAAAAAGGAGAGAGAGGCTATTGGGCAACTGTCCCCCAAACCCTACATCAGCCAGCTGTGCTGGTTAGCTGGAGTGAGGAGCCCAACTTCACTCTCATAAGCTGTGGCCCCAGTCCTCTGTGTGCCTGAGAAGTCCTAAAGACACTGTGCTTCGTCTTTGCACAATAATAATATTTAATCTCTCCAGGTTTTTATACCTCACCTATTACTGTGGTATAAGAGCACTTCTGTGGTGAACCACCTGAAGTTCACTAAAAAACACAATCCTACCTTGAAGTCAATGGGCTTTTATTCAGGAAAAACATGCATGAAAGCCAAAGCTGAGATACAGGCAGGTATGTATTTCAGGTTCTGTCCCTATACAATGTCTTCAACATGCTTTACTAAACTATTACAAACAAGGTCAATTCAGTTATATTTCAACTTTGTCACTTAATGGCAGAGGTGAAAGTAAGCCGTTATGCCCTGGTATGGCGTACCAGCAAGAGCCGGTGCACCGTACTGGGGCAGCCCAGCTTCTGGGCTGGGAGCCCCAGGCCCCTTAAATTGCCTCTAGAGCCCTGCTGCTGGAGCCCTGGGGTAGCGGCTGCGGGGCTCTGGCAGCTGTTTAAAGGGCCCGGGGCTCCCCTGCTTTTACCGCCCCGGTCCTTTAAATAGCCCCCGGAGCCCCACTGCCTCTACTCCAGGGCTCCGGGAGCTATTTAAAGGACCAGGGCAGTAGAAGCAGGGGAGCCCTGGGCCTTTTAAATAGCCCCCGGAGCCCTGGGCTGCTGCTGCTACCCCGGGGGGGGGGGGAGGAGAACAAAGAGGGGGGCACTTACCTTACAGGGTGGGCTGAGGATGTCTCTGACCCCTCAGCCCCGCCCCTTCTGCCCTAGGTCCCAGCGTATTGGTAAGTCGCTCGACTTACTTTCACCCCTGCTTAAAGGTGGATATGTGCAACCTAATCCTGCAGTACTTTTCTAAAAGAGGAAAGCAGGATCAGGCACTTCAACCAGAATACTCTATCCTGTTTTGGATCAAGTGATTATTTAGTTTAAAACATACACCTAAGTTTAATAAGATAAATGCAAGACTCTGATCTGAATTGCAAAGATGTAACTGTAGGATAGTTTTACTGACTTCAATGGAGTTATTAATATTCACATCAGTGTTAACTGAGTTTGCTGAACTAAAAATATTGTTGGAAAAGTAAAGTCCAAAGGACAGCTCACTTTTTTCATTTTTTCCAATTATGGAGCGAAATTTTTTTGAAAAATGAGTACTACATACTAAGTTAGAGAGACCTAGATAATCAGAGACATGGGAAGATTGTCTAAAGATTTAAAGTGATAAATTTGTTACTTACTTTGAAGCAGACTTATTGCTAATTTGCCTTAGGTCTCAGAGGCACTGTCTGTCTTGAAAGCATCTGATCAACTCTGCTTCACTGATGATTGGGCTACTGTTAGATGCTACTTAATCAACTGCTTTCTAGATGGCAAAGATTTACAGTTGATTAGTCTGCATAGTTCAGTTGTTTTTTCAAAAGGTTCTAGGAAGGGATTATTTTTGTGCCCAAATAGCTCTAAAGAAAGGGCTTGCTCAGGGTCTGCAGTGTGAATATCCTGGATTCTGAACACAATGTTCACTGAAGCAGACAAAGCTAAGTTAAAGAAGCATTTAGTGTTTCAGAATGCCAGACTTAATAAGTATCTTTGGGGGGGGGAGCGGGAGGGGCTTTTTTTTTTTTTACTTTAGTGCACACATTTTTTTCCACTGATCAGGGACATGCAGATAAAGTTGGATATATAAGGCAAGATTCAAATGTTTCCTAAGGAAAGTTCCTCATTCTACTTGAAGCCATACAGTGGAATAATTCCGCTGCTAGTTACAATACTGTGTCCTTTCCTTGGGAAAGAGGTCTAATTCATCTTTGGCAGGCCAAGTTCAACAATTCAACTGTCCAAAATTAGAACAACACAGTAATCAAACTCACTCCTCTTCATTAGCAAGTGGAACTGATACAAATGTCGAGGAAGAGAGCAGATCTGATGGGGATCCAAGCCATTTCTCTAAACAGGCTGATCCAGGCCCATGAGAAACTCTGCAGAAGTCTGAATCAGGAAATCTGGGGAGGGGGCAAGCCCTCAATGTGATTCTTACTTACCCATAAAAAGGGTTTTTCTTTTTCTCCATAGGCATTAGCCATTTACAGGAAGAAAAATGTTAAATAAGTGCAAGAGGCAGTATATGTAACTGACTCGACTATAATCAATTGCCACACAGTAGATACAAATTATTTAATAAGACAATTTAGTGTTATTCCCAAGGGAAAATACCTGTCTCTCCAAAGTTTATTCTGTGCTTGAAATTGAGAAGTATTTTAATTTAGGCATTTATAATCATAAAAGGAACACACCGAGTTATAGTATTAAGGATTTTTTAAAAATTTGAAACCAGGAGTTGGGAAGGGATATAAGCCTGCATGCCTCAGGCTTAAACCAAGCTCTGCCTAATGGGGTTTAGGAAGAAATTTTTCCTGGTGACAGATTTTTCCCAAACTGCAGGGTTTCCCATATTTGCCTCTGAAGAGTCTAGACCTGGCCCCTGTTAGAAACAGGATACTAGATTAGAAGGACCACTGGTCTGATCCAATATGGCAGTTTCCATGTTCCTAATCCAATCATTCTTGCCAGTCTTTGCTTTCTGATACCAGAAATATTGACATTTACAAATCTAAGAGAGTGATCAACTGTAAATATCTCCCACATTTAAGCCTTCTTTTCAAGAGTTCACTGAAGCAGTGACTTCTTTGCTCTATTGCTGTCTTGATGGCTGGCATCACTGCACCATTATATACTAATGTCTGCATGGAAACAAAAGCTAAAAAACAAAACCATTTCATTACAAAGCACTTTCGGTTATTTCCAAATCAAAACCACCCCAGAAACTTCAGTCAACCTATTTCTTTTAACCAATTTAGCTCTAATCTTCAAACCATTAATGCTCTACCAGCCCTATCTATATTATTGTGGATAAACCCATTACATCTGTCAGGACGTAATCACTATATAATGCATCTACCTCCAGATTTTTTCATGTGGTCAGGATTACTTCATATATTTTCCATATCATAGTCCACTCAAATGCCATCAACTCTGACTATACTGAACGGCTTTTCTTAATCTTTCACAAGATGAAAGAAAACTCCTTGTTTAGGAAAGCAAAAGCAGACATGTTCACACTTTCCTCCTAATTCCTCCTCCTTCCCCCCCCCCCCCCCCCCCCGCACACACACACCTTTTAAAAGCCTAATATCAAATGCACATTATCTCAACTTCTTATGGGTGGTACTTAAATCATGATAGATTTACCCCATGAATACACACTATTTCTCTTAAATCTTACAAAACAACACATCTGTGTTGTAAGTTTATAGTGCACATAACAGTGGCTCAGCATACTTTCCAGCAGAGAGATGAGTTTCCAGGCTAAGAACCCTGGAATGTTCCCGCTACTGCAGGCTAATGATCCTTCAAATGCACACTAATATGTCTGATAAAAGTCTCCCAGCATGAGTGCACAGAACGCTTACCATAAGAATGACAGTACTGTGGGCAGGGCAAATCACTGACATCATTTCAGGCTGAATTGGATGCTGGAGGCACAAATTAAAACAGTGAGATTTCATGTCAGTGGGCTTTGACAGATGGAAGAGTGCATCAAATCTCTAACTGTTTAAACCATTAACTCATCTTTCCACCTGCATTATCTCTGGCAAGAACTCTGTTGGAAGCCTGGAAAAAGTGCTCACAGAGAGAATTCAGAAGTGTGTGTTATCCTAAAGAGAAATCAGCCTTCTCTTTTGAGACAGAATGTTTATTTTGCTGCTGCATTTGTAAACTTATTTATCTTGTCTTTCACACATCCTCTCTATTCTGAAAACTCAAAATGGCCTTTCAGCTTCACAGTTGGATCAGTCAATCAAGGGCTACTGTCTGAGCCTTGGCTGCAGTGAACAAGAAAGTCAGATTGAGATTCACAGTGCATTATGATGATTCCCATTTATTTCCACTCCTTGTAAATGCCACTGCACACACAGTACTAAATTAAGCCTGCTGGTCTTTTGAACTTCAACTGCTCACGAATTCTGAAACTTGCTGAAGGATCTGTAACAAAAATGACCTGTACTTAAAGAATCCTTTTGAAATGGTTTTCCCTGTTGTATAAGATGCTCATCAGGGATAAATTCTGCTTTCCATTAAACCAGTATAGATCTGCAACACTTCACCATTTCCGCGAGTCACTCTTGATTTGCATTGGTGTCATTTATTTTTAGGGTTTGTTTGTTTGTTTGTTTGAATGTATGGGAACATCCACCATTAAATGTTCAGCACTTTCCAAACACATGAGAAAGTTGGTCTCTGCTTTGAGGACCTCACAATCTAAGAACAGACATGTAGACAGAGGTTATGGGAAAGGGAACAGTAAAAGGCAAATTATATACGATGTATATACAATTCAATTTGATTTGTTGTAAGCAGCACAGCAGAAGTGGCCTGTTAACAGGGTTTATATAGGGGTTTATGTGGATGAGTACAAGGAGGCCATACTGTTCATAAGGAGCATTTATAAGTAGAAGGCAGGGATGTGATTGGGTGAGCAACAGACAAATGAACTGGGAGCACTGGCAGAGCAAAGGGGACAGGGAACAATGTGAGGAACCTGAAAGGAGAATAAGGAGGGAAAGGTAGAGTTACGTAGAGCTTCTAAGTTTAAATTTGATGTGATAGCAGATGGGGAATCAGTGCAGGTATTCCAAGCAAAATTAAAGCAGAATCTTGTCCTGTGTGCAAATAAAGCCACTTCAGGCCTGACACTGTCACCCTTATTCATGTTGACTAGTTCTTCCTTCACAACTAGCCTCATTTGGTCAGATTCTGACAACCATGACTCACACTGAATGACACAAATAGTTCAATTTACTTCAACAGGACTATTTGTTCAGGAAGGTACTAGGCAACAAAAGTAAGGTATAAGAATCTGGCCCTTTGTGTTCAGTGGGAGTACAGATGGAGTAAGGTACTAATCAACATAAATAAACATGGCAGAATTGGGTACTTAATTTGTGTGCAATAGATAGAGGTGGCATTTGCAAGAAAAATTACGCCTCACTTCCAGGCAACGGGTTAACATGTATCATAAAAGATTTCAGTCATGAAATGGAGGAGAATATTTTCTCTTTTCCTCCCACACCCGTTAAGAAACCTGTATTTCCTCTTGAGGATGTGTATAATGAAATTACCAGATGAGAGCAGCTATTCAAAGAATAAATCAAGCATGTTATTTTCCACTGTCAAAAACACTGGGGAATTACAAGTGAAGATGGAGAAGAATAACCTAAGAAAAACATGCATACAGTGATTACTGTAACGGGGCAACATCCTTCTCTCTGTGTTGCAGACTTCTACTGGGGACTCTGTATGTAAAATTTCCACTGATGTCAGTGGGAATTCTGCTGACAAAAGGACTGCAGAATCCACAACTGAGATCAACACTTCAAGTAACAGATCCTGAGCATGGGACTTTTGTCCCTGAAGTCTAATTTTAGAAATATGAAAAGCAACTCACAGAACACTGATAGCTAGAAGGTGTTGCCTTTAAGCCAGTCTTCCCCTTGATGCTTTGAGGGTCATGCTAAGAGGGGGAAAATATAAGATTGCTAAACTTTTTAAGAAAGATATAATAACCTTTAACACAGTGCCCTGTTGTTTTCTTTAGCCAGCAATGTCTAAACCATAGTAGACAAAACTATACAAACATCAGGTACCACCACCAACAACAAAAATGAGTAAACAGCAGACATTAAATATGCAGTTAATAAATATATGAAATATGGCAGAAAGTCTCAAAATGTACTAAAATGGGGGAGAAAAGAGGCACTGCTAGGAGCTAAAACTGTAAACATCCCCCATCCCCCTAACCCCAGCAATCTATAATTGTGACAGGCAGAATGCAGGGAGGCAGAACTGGAAAGGCTGAAATCGCTGAGATCAGATGTACCACTGCTCCAATACTAAATAGTACAAATGTCTGACCTGACAGTGTTAGGTATTCTTTCTGTCTAGTCATCTGTACATTGCAATTCATGGGTTTTTAAACAGGAAGATTTTTTTTTGCCACTGCCATCATAAGAATAGATAAAAAATGAATTATTTTTTGTATGTAGAATGTAGATTATAATTCTTAGAATGCTAATAAGGGTTATAACCACACTCAAAGATGAATAAACCTTAGTGTTGGGCATGAGTTGAAACTTGTAGAATCACGTATTCTTTATTTTAAGCTACAGTGCAGCTACATAAACTAATTGTAATTCAAAACTTATATGTCTTGCTTTGGCCATATCCAACATGCATAATTGCATTTTGCCAATCTAAATCTCCCCTTCAATTTCATTTGAATATTATATTATCCTTTATTTCCTGTCCTAAAATGCATATTTAAAATTTTGTGATAGTTACTAGAGGCTAACTATGTCAGGACCCTGCTGTATAAATATGTATCAAGTGACAGTCCCTGCCCCAGTAATGTCTATGCCCAGTATACATGTATTTATTACACACAAAATAAGGAAGTTAATAGAACATTTATTTAGACTGAAAAGTTAAGCATTCAAAAGTCAGAAGTGCTAGTCTTAATTCTGCCTATATGAACTCTAATCTGGGCACTGAATGAGGGTGGCAGGTGATGATAGCCTTCTCATGATCTGTCCTGTTACATGCTAAGGCACAGCTAACGCCATCAAATCAACATCCAAACATCATTCAGTAAAGTCCTGGATTGAACAGCAATGGAAACGTAGGCCCCCACTCCATGCATTTGCCAACTGAACATCAAAGTTATGTCCTGATCTAAAAGCTACGACCTAGCTTGTGACATTCAAGACATGATTGATATTACCCTGCAAGAAGCCCATATCAAAGATGATGCCCAAGAATCACACTGCCATATTGCTGGCTACAATCTCATTGCCTCCCTCCATCACCTAAAACACAGCCTTGCCACATACATCAAGCAGGTCATCCTGGTAGATGCCAGGAGCAACCTCAGAACCATCTCAATAAGAAAAGGAGTACTTGTGGCACCTTAGAGACTAACCAATTTATTTGAGCATAAGCTTTCGTGAGCTCCAGCTCACTTCATCGGATGTATACTGTGGAAAGTGTAGAAGATCTTTTTATACACACAAAGCATGAAAAAATACCTCCTCCCACCCCACTCTCCTGCTGGTAATAGCTTATCTAAAGTGATCACTCCCCTTACAATGGGTATGATAATCAAGGTGGGCCATTTCCAGCACAAATCCAGGGTTTAACAAGAACATCTGAGGAGGGGAGGGGGGTAGGAAAAAACAAGGGGAAATAGGTTACCTTGCATAATGACTTAGCCACTCCCAGTCTCTATTCAAGCCTAAGTTCATTGTATCCAATTTGCAAATGAATTCCAATTCAACAGTTTCTTGCTGGAGTCTGGATTTGAAGTTTTTTTGTTGTAATATCGCAACTTTCATGTCTGTAATCACGTGACCAGAGAGATTGAAGTGTTCTCCGACTGGTTTATGAATGTTATAATTCTTGACATCTGATCTGTGTCCATTTATTCTTTTACGTAGAGACTGTCCAGTTTGACCAATGTACATGGCAGAGGGGCATTGCTGGCACATGATGGCATATATCACATTGGTAGATGTGCAGGTGAACGAGCCTCTGATAGTGTGGCTGATGTTATTAGGCCCTGTTATGGTGTCCCCTGAATTGATATGTGGGCACAGTTGGCAACGGGCTTTGTTGCAAGGATAGGTTCCTGGGTTAGTGGTTCTGTTGTGTGGTATGTGGTTGCTGGTGAGTATTTGCTTCAGGTTGGGGGGCTGTCTGTAGGCAAGGACTGGCCTGTCTCCCAAGATTTGTGAGAGTGTTGGGTCATCCTTCAGGATAGGTTGTAGATCCTTAATAATGCGTTGGAGGGGTTTTAGTTGGGGGCTGAAGGTGACCGCTAGTGGCGTTCTGTTATTTTCTTTGTTAGGCCTGTCCTGTAGTAGGTGACTTCTGGGAACTCTTCTGGCTCTATCAATCTGTTTCTTCACTTCCGCAGGTGGGTATTGTAGTTGTAAGAATGCTTGATAGAGATCTTGTAGGTGTTTGTCTCTGTCTGAGGGGTTGGAGCAAATGCGGTTGTATCGCAGAGCTTGGCTGTAGATGATGGATCGTGTGGTGTGGTCAGGATGAAAGCTGGAGGCATGTAGGTAGGAATAGCGGTCAGTAGGTTTCTGGTATAGGGTGGTGTTTATGTGACCATCGTTTATTAGCACTGTAGTGTCCAGGAAGTGGATCTCTTGTGTGGACTGGACCAGGCTGAGGTTGATGGTGGGATGGAAATTGTTGAAATCATGGTTGAATTCCTCAAGGGCTTCTTTTCCATGGGTCCAGATGATGAAGATGTCATCAATATAGCGCAAGTAGAGTAGGGGCGTTAGGGGACAAGAGCTGAGGAAGCATTGTTCTAAGTCAGCCATAAAAATGTTGGCATACTGTGGGGCCATGCGGGTACCCATAGCAGTGCCGCTGATCTGAAGGTATACATTGTCCCCAAATGTAA